TAAACTTTCGGGGTTAGAATTTTTGGCCAACGGAAGAAAGTTTGCTTGCTTCCAGATGGATGGATAGGAATCAGTCGATATACAGTGATTGAATAAGTGAGTGGAAGTGATATGTGGAAGGATTGTGGGGCAGCAGTTCAGCAACATTTTAATGCTTATCTCATCAGGTCCTACAGCATTCGACTTCATGTTCAGAATTAAATTGTAAATTTCATCATCATCAGTAGCTTTATAGGGGGAACTGGAATTGTTTATATTATTACTCGAAAAAAAAAATTTCACAATTTCATCATCAGGGAAATAGTTGCAGTTGGATATACCTTCGAAAAATTTGTTGATATCTTCAACGTTCAATAAGTGGTTCGGAATGGATTTGAAATTTCTTTTATGGTGAATATTCAAATCGGATAAATCTTTCCATATCTGCTTACTTCTTGTAAGCTAATGATTGAGATATGCTCTTTTCTTCATGTTCACAGTACGATTGGTAAAATTCCACAACTGTTTCTTATAATCCCAGTGATGCTGTAACTTTATTTTTCTGAATCTCGTAAGAGCTCTATCTCTTAGTTTAAACATGATTTTCAGATTGTCTGTGAGCCAAGGGGCCCTTTTCTTGAAAATTTTAACACTTTCAATAGAATGATGTTTTTCAAATAGATCGGGTGATATCCCATTGAACATTGATAGGTGGTGGAGAGAACAAAAACCGCTGCCTGTAGATCTAATGAAAAAAGATCTAAATTAAATTTGCTAAAGTCTCTATAGGTGTGCATGGAACTCTTATCTGCTATTTTGATTAGGCCCACTTCGCAAAACACTAAAAAATGATCAGAAAATTAACTACAGTCGATAGTAGTACAGTCGGATATAGTTAATTATTCTGAACAGATCGAAACGTCTAATATTTTACAACCTGCCAAAGAGTACTGTGTGGGTTGGTCTACTACTTGTTTTAAACAATACGAATCAAGAATGTGATCCAGTCGAACACACTGACTATTAGTTGGATCTGAATAATCCACATTTAGATCCCCCGCTAAAATAATATTTTCGAATTTGGGAGAGATTGAAGATAAACTGTCCTCTAAGGCAGGCAAGAATATTGAAAGAGGAAGATTCGTAGGTCTGTACATAGAAGCAACAGCGTAACTTTTTTTGTCAATGATGAATGTTACCCGGACTTGTTCAATTGTTTGATTGAGGATGTTCTGTATTGAAGTAGCTCTGAAAATGTTACTGATGAAAATTGCAACACCCCCTACCCATCCTTCACCTCTATCTTTACGAAAAATTTGGTAACCATCAAAACAGATATCGTCATTTGTTGTATATCGAGTAAGCCATGTTTTAAAGATGGTAATGATATCAAACTTTGAATGTACCGCCTATTTGAATTCTACGAAACCATTCAAAATTGATCTCGTGTTTATGTGACAAATCGTTATGTTCCTCATATTTCATCAATCTCACTCCCAAGCCCAGACAATATAAGTATGGAGAAAATGAAATGTATGTATTATGTATGTAATGTATTTTGAAAGTGGTAGAGAATAGCTGAGAAATATTCAGGAGTATTATCTACCAAGAACGGTAAAAAAAAATAATGATTTTATAGATTTTAAAATTGAAAAAAATATATTGGGAAAAATTCTTGATAACTGTGAGTAGAAAAGATTATGTGATATAATGAAATGTTCAGGAAACAGGGAAAACTGAAAGTTAAAAAGCGAAACAAGTATTGTGGAAAAATATGGAAGAATCAATGGAAACAAATTATAAAGTGAATCAAAATCTTGTTTATAGGAAAACTTATTCAGTTTATCAACTGAAATCTCTCTTGTTCCAGTCAACCAACTTTTTAAATAAAAGGTACATCTCTACAGAGATGTTCAGCCACTAAATCGTTGAATTGACTAATGACTTCTGCTTGTTCTGGAGAAGGTTAGCGAACACATTGATCTCTGTGTTGAGGTCCATTACTCATTATTCAGCCTTATTGGTACCTTGGTCCTCCTGCTGAGCTTCGACTACTTCCTTGAATAGAATCCGAAGAGTATTCCAGGTGGCCTTTCAGCAGCGGTAAGTTTCACTTCGCTATGAGCGGTTATATTCCGCTACCCATTTTCTTTCAACTAAGAAGAAGAGCTCTCCCATGTCTTGAGAATTCGCGCCAATCTGCAAGCAGAATATGCGCACGAAGTCCAACCTTGGTGAATGCAAAGGCTTTGATACGGCCCATTCCAGTCTATTAACATCCACTTTGCATCCGTAGTCCACCGAATCTGTTAGGGAAGCGACTATCACAATTATAGAAACGGATCGCCTCTTGCCCTCTTCAATAGTCTTCTCAATTTCCTTTTACTTGTCGGTAATCTTGTTAACCGAAATTACATTTGAGTAGCTCAACGTCGACGTCAGGACCCTGACTTTTTGTCAGAATAGACCACTGGTTGCTTAGAAGAAAGTACCCAGGATAGAAAATTGGACGAACGAGTTTCCATATGAAGATAACAACAATTACAGATGATGCATTTATGATTTTTGCACAAGAAAATCTGAGGCAGAGGACGTTGTTTCATCTTTTATAAAGGATTCCCGCATATTGAGTATCCAAATGAAATTGAAAACGGAATACCATGCTCAGATGTCTTGATGATTGGTAGTGAGTAGAACGTGATCGTCTATAGAAAACATGCTGGAATTTTAGATATATTCCTCATAGCGCAAATGAAGTGTGGCAGCACTGTCAGTCAATGAATAATAAACCAAATGAGTGAATTGATGTGCTACTCTGTGCCACTAGTAGGTACCTAATGGGTAAAATGTTTCAACCATGAAATAATTTTGATATTATAAATAATAATGTGCAGGAAAAATAAAGACAATTATGGCATACAAAGAGTATGCAAGATAGAGGTTATAATTTTTTGAATCTTCGCACCATATTTCAAAATTTATTATTTACTTCTCAAACATGAACTATCTTGTTAACTGTCCACTAATTAATTTGATCAATTTTTTTTTCAAATTAAATGTAACAAATATATAAAAGTCCTTGATAAAATAACACCTAGAAATGTTTATTTCTGCAAAAATATGATGTTTCTTACAAATTAACATTTTAGTGATCAAAAATATGTCATATTTGCGTACGATATTTACTCCTAATTGTCACTAATATATGAGAAAGTTTGTGAATGTTTCTTTCACAAACTGAACAGAACACCGCCATTGTATTAATCACTACATAATGGAACACAAGTTACACCATATTATCATTATCTTGATAAATGTGGCGGATCTATAATATTTTGGTGTTATATTCAACCGGAGTGAATTGTGAAAACTCGTTTATTAAAATTACACTCAAATATTTTTTACTGTGTGCAATACCCTTCGAGAAACCGTTAGTGGCTGCTATTTCCTGTATTGTACGTCTTTCTTTTGTGAACCTATCATGTGTTAGAGAGAAAGTCAAAAGACGATGCACTAAAAAATTCAACCCAGCACGTTTGTGCTGTCCACAGTGATGTGAACTGTCAGAAATATACCTGTACGTGCTTGCTTTTCAGTCGTAGAAGATGCATCGTCCAAGTGGATCGAATGTTTCGAGGTTCAAAATATCACTACTACGACAACCATTAAAATTTTCAGAGATCTTTTTGCGAGATTTGGTCTACCCCTTCAACTCTGTACTGACAATGCCACTACTTTTGTGTCTGAATCATTTCAGGATTTTCTAAGTAGTAGTTTTGTTGAGCATATCACTGGCGCACCTTATCACCCATCAACTAACGGTCAAGGTGAAAGCGTTGTCAAAATAATGAAAAAAGCAATTTTGAAAGCAACACACGGAAAAAGAGAAAATGATCATAATTTAATAATAAATCGGTTTTTGTTTCATCATAGGAACACTCCTTATAAATTCACGTGGAAACACCAGCAAAATTATCATTACTCCCTAATCTACGCTGCAAATTTGATTTGATCATTTCATTAGTAGAAAAAAATGTTTTTGAAAGTCAAAACTCACAGGAAAACTATTTCAAGGGAAATAGATCAGAAAATTTTGAGGTAAATGATCTGGTTTGGGCTGGCGATTTTCAGAAAGGTTCCTATAACTGGTGTGAGTCCAAAATACTGGAAGTTCTTGGAAAAAGAATGTACATGGTTCAAACACATCAGGGACTTATTTGGAAACGACATCTTGATCAACTCAAGAGAACATTTTCAAGAGAAAATGAATCGTAAATATAGGAAAAATGATACTGTAAATAATAGTGCTGAGGACAGTGAAAGTGAGGTGATTATTAATAATAATGGTGAACAATAACATCAAAATGTATACTCGAAAGTATTGAGAAGAAGAAGCCAATTGAAACCACCTGATCGTCTAGTTATAAGTTAGTTATTAATTTTCTGAGAATGTTTATTTTTTATGACATCTGAATTGAAGGGAAATGTGTTATATATGTCTCTGAATCCCCTGTATAACGCATTCGTAGGATAAAAACGTTACCTCCTTTTTATATTCGATTACATATTTGGGCTATGATGAATTGTATAATTGGAAATCAGTAATGAATGAATCTCCAATCAAGTTACTTGGTAGTTTCATTGTTTAGTTTGCTAATTCACGTCGATTATTAAACAAAACAGAAGATTGTTCTTGTTTTTGAGAGATGTGCTCATTCTGCATGGATTCATACAACGTTAAAGGTTCTAGTTCTATCTTTCAGTAATTAAACTGAACCGAATTAGACTGAATATGATGGTTTGAAAATATAATGAACGTCATTTATATATTTCATATCACAGTCGTATGTTATTTAGGAAAATACTTTTTATCAAACATTATCCTACAATCTTAATACTATCTGATAAGAGTTATATTGCTCATACCGACTTATTGTTCCATCTTAATCCATCATTATTATATCTGTGTTCTATCTCTACTACAAACACATTTTTTATTACTATAATAATACCTGATAGATTATTATTAAACCAGTAATTTGCAACACTCGAAATCACACAGCTAGGTAGAATCATAATATATTTGGTTCAAAACTGAATTCGGTTACTTCACTCCGACAGTTCTAGTTACCGAGTAGTTACATTAGTTGTTTGAAAAGCAGTGAAACATGACGTTCCTAAGTTTCGTTAAGTGAGTACCTACGTGCACAATCGATAGATTAAAATAACAATTTATGTGTGAATTTGAACTGAATGATAATTATTCACTGTTCAAATGAAATATTCCTCAGAATATTCCTGTCATTTTTTTTTTGATATATGAGTAATTTTACTGTTATATTCAATTACAGTAGTTAGGCAGTTTTTTATGTTATCAGAGTGGAATTGACACATGATACCGGTACTTGTACCAATATATCATCCAAAAATTGTTAATTGTTTGAAATTTGATTTGTATAACTGAACCGGTAATCGGTTTGTTGGAGTCGACCTTACAACTTGGCAATAATTTCACCAAGAATTATGCAGTCCCTTCAAGGAAAACACATTGTCTTCATGAAAAATTCATTACATTTCATAGAGTCACTCAAGGAAATTCAAGTAATACAACGAGATTCACAAATCAGTTGTAAAGTATAATTCCTCTACACCAACATTTTCATTAAGTAACACTTCAGAATACCAAGGACGAATTTTCTGGAGAGAATGATCTGTAAACCAGTTAAATATTTCCGATGAAATAAATCAAGAATTCTTTGAAGAAACTTTTCGACTTTTTACTTCCTTATCTTTATATGAAAAATGTGAAGAAAATTCTGAAGAAAGTTCACGATGAACTATACAAAGATGTGTAGATTATGGACCGAAATCCTTTTCAGACAATAAATGGAAAGTGGTTCAATCGAAACAACTATTTTGAATATATGAGCATGGAATTACACTTTTTCTCATTTTCTGTAATTCAATAATTTATTGTGGATTTGGAACAGATATCATTCATTCTCAGGAACGCTACACAAAGTTTATAAGAGTCGGCCAATGTTACAGGTTCGGACTTCCATTGTCTAGAATAGTGTCAACAGGTTCGAAATCCATGAAAGGACAAATGAAATACCGTTGAATTGGATATTCAAAACATTGGGAATGATTGAAAGAATCTGCACAAGAATATTGGGTTGAATCAGTTAAAAAAAAGTAATGTCTTTAAAAAAATTGGACAAAATAAATAGCAGGGATCGTACGAACGATAATTTGAAAAACATCTTTGTGGGGTAAAATGAAACAGTGAGTAAAACATCAATTCCATACAAATAATTGAAAAGTGAAATATAAATATAATGAAATGAAATAATCGAAACAAATGATGAAAATATACATGAGAAATTAAAATAAGACAAAGATCTCAAACCAAGTTACTTCAAGACGTTTTGATTGTTAGTAGTCGCAACCGTCTTCGAGTGATATCTGGACTATTCATATGTCACTTTTGGGCTTTCCATATTCCCTTAATCTCGCCTGTTTCATATGTCTTCCAGGTTCAGTACAACGTACCTATTTCCTGCCTGATTGGAGGTTTCATTTGTAGTACGCTTCTCCACAGTAACTTGGTTGAATTCATCGTTGGTCAACAAGTATGCAGCTACTGTGAACTCCCTCTGAAACCAGTGCTACTTTTTGTGGATGATGTTAGCTTCGGACCACTCATTGTTATGTTGATGAGTTTAAAAATTCTTCGATTTATCTGTTTTGCTAGTTTCTCCTCGCTGGGTGTTTTTCGCTCGCCAATGGCTAACGGCCTCTTGGTTTCATCGATATACGTTTTGCTACATTGACAGAGCATAAATATACAATCAAATAGGATTTTGATGATCTCTTTCTCAATATATTGGTGGTGGTTAGATTCGTGTTCATATGAGTGAGCTATCAGTATACCTACAGATTATTGTCACTAGTTGTCAATTCTCTTTGATAATACATTTGAGAACGACACTTTTTTGTGGAGTTTTTTCTCGATTGTGAATGTAATGGAAGGTTTCACGCTTCTGATGTATCAATAAAAGGTGCCAGGTTCGTGTCTCCACCAATCCATATTATGTTTCTCAATCGGCTTCGGGACTTATTGTAGGCTTCTCCAATATTTATCGTTTTAAACTATATCATGTATATGATATTACCAAAATGTTTATTCAATAAAGAACTAACAATAGACAGTTGAATGAAATGAATAAAATTTATCAGAAGAACAATTCGTTCAGGCCAATCTCAACTCGCCTACGAGTGTACTGTAGGTGAATAGACGGACATCTATCAAAAAACAACTACTCCTTTGTCTAATATCACGAAGGGCGTTGGATTATATCTCACAGGTGTCACTGCAAGATTCTTCACATAAGTAATTCCTGCATATGCTCTTGGTGATATAATTGCCGAAATCGTAGGATAGAGTGGGTGAGTTGAAATTGGCTCGACCCGATTTTTCTTTCACATAATTTGATTCACAGCCAGTCTTCAATTACGGTTATGTTTAAGTTTGAAAATGTCCTTGCAGGATGAAACTGCAGTAACGTTAGTTACAAATATAAATGGTAAAATATATAGAAAGTTTCAATTCTCTTTTCTTTATTTTGATTTCCTACTACGCACTAACGACTACATCCATCAATTCCTGTTATCTTTGTTATGTTGGCTTCAACCGGTTGAGTGGCGATCTCATTGGCAGGGTTCAATCTTGTGTGTAGAATTCACCCCTCAGTTGGAAATAGCAGTTTTGCACACAGCATTCTAGTAGTTTTATAATTACTCCTATTGTTATCCTCGTCCTGACTTTCAGTTAGTTATTCTTCCACATGAACGTTGGTAAAAATTCTTTCTACATCAAAACTGATCAATTGATCTTGTTGTGTGATTTCGATTGCCTTCAGTCACTTCACAAAAGATGAGATTGGAGTGATAGTTTAGAAATCTGGGAAAATTGTGTGTGATTGAATCTCTGAAACTATGGATTGGTCTGAGCGAAACATCCTGCTTGTATATCTTGGGTAGTCCATATAGGTTGGGGGTCCCGCTGTGGTAAGGTCTTAGCGATGACTACCAAAAAGAAGAATTGATTTATCTTCATATTATATCATCCCCTCTGAAAAGCAACAGGAAGTGGAAAAACAACCAACACGTGTTTCTGATTATTTGGAGTGCTTCTCCAATACAGAATGATCATTCAGCCGATTATACAAACAACAAAATTCTCCATTTCAAACCAGATTCAAATGAAATGCAATTTCTGGAAATGACTGAAATGAAAGTTAACCTTTCGCGAAAAACATGTTTGAGTGGAATTCGAAAACTAACATTGCTTTCAGAGACCGACTCACAAAGTAGGGTTTTATGTTTCTAATAATTATGAGGAGAAGCATTTTTTTAGTTAGGGTGGGGTATTGAAAGAAATCTAGAGCATGTTGTGTGATTATTGTTGGAATATGAACTGAATTGCAGCTTATATTCATCCTGCATAGTTTTATGTGGTTCTAATTCAACTTTGCTATTTCACTACAATCCACACTTTTAAGTATAATCTACAGAAGGCTATGGGCCTAGAAACACATTAGTGAAATATCGGTAAATTAAGTTGAAGTAAGGAATAAACTTTTTCATTGGGTGACATCTTGGACCTGTTTGTCACTGAGTTGCGGAATACATAATTTTTCGAACACTGTTGAAGATGGAGATTCCGATTAGAAGGGCAATCCAATTGGCTTGATTGGAAATTTCAAATCAAAATTCAGCTGCATGCACACAATGCATGAGATGCTGTTTTGGGCACAGTTGAATCACCAGTCAAATCAGCAGATGAGGATGTAAAAGGAACAACATACAAATGGAATATCCATTTTATGCATTTAGAAACTTGAGTTTCTAACAAACTGACCATACCACACAGTCCCCTACGGCTCTGAGGAATGATTGATTCTCTACAGCCCCCTATGACTCTTAAGATTGTTTCTCCACAAACATACAAATGTTTGATGCAGTCTGCAAAGAGAATTGGATACACAGGCAAAGAGAATTGGATACACAGCCCAGAATCTCATTATTTCTAGTCTGAGTTCACAAGTTAGGCAGTTGATAAACATGTCTAATAGTTCAAAGGAGATGTGGGATAAGTAGTATCGAAGAGAGTTCAAGATCGATCTCCACCAATAACATCAACCCTGCACAAGAAAGATAACGCGAAGAAGAAGATTACTCCGAAATGTTATCGATGTGGTCATAGAGGAAATTTAAAGAAAGACTGTACCAAAGATATCAAAACGAATGTTACTTCAGTACAAGGTTCAGCATTCATTTTACAACCTTTTCAATCCGATCCACATCCAAACATTAGTTGGATTGCAGATTCAGGTGCCACTCAACATTTGACTATGCACCAAAATTAGTTTTCCACTTTCGAAAACTTTCCAGTTTCCAAGTTAGTTATTGTTGGTAATGGTCAGAGAATGCGGGCTCTGTTCATTGATGAAAAATTGATTAGAAATGATCTTCAAGATGTGTGGTACGTACCTGTTGTAGAAAGGAATCTGTTTTCAATACCTTCTGTAGTTGATAAAGGTATGACGTCTCCACTCAACAAACATATTTGCAACATTTCGAAAATTGGGATGGTTGTAGCCCCTGGAACTTGTGAAAACAGTTTATATGTGATGCATATTTGAGTAGTTGTTCCTGAAAATACTGCAGAAGTTCAGTTAGCCGCCAGCAATAACTTGCAGATTCGGCACGAACGTCTCTGTCATCAAAATAAGAGACATGTTCAGGATTTTCTGAAAAGAAGAGGAGTCGATGTTGAAGCAGAACTTTGTGATGCCTGTATGTATGGTAAACATCATCGACTACCTTTTGGTCAGAGGATGAATAGAGCCAGTAAACCTGGAGAACTCATCCATTCTGATGTTTGTGGACCAATGACTATAAAATCGATTGGTGGTGCACGATTTTTCGTCGTTTTCAAAGATCATTTCAGTAAATTTCACTATGTTTACTTTCTCAAAGAAAAGTCTGACGTAAGAGATGAACTGAAAGAATTTCTGTCGAAAGCAAAATGAACTGATTAACTGATAGTGGTGAAGAATTCGATAACACGGATAAAAAGAAGATAATCACAAAGTATGGTTTTCATAATCGAATCACTATGCCTTA